GCATTTTCAATATCAAGTTTCTTCTTTAATTCAAGTTTCAAAAGTTCACTCGCTGCTTTTCTCTTCCCTTTCAACATATTCTAGCTGCACACGATATTCCGCTGCCTTCGCTTGAGCTGCCATTCGCGAGTCACGTGACTTTGCCGACTGTCCTGACAAACCACTTATCACTGAAACTTTATCACTCATCATGAATCGTAAAATGTTCTGCTATTCACGAGTTGCATTCAGAGGTGGTGTTCACTATAGCGGTAGTCCGCTAGGTTTCCAAGCAACTCACGTGCAAAACACAATCTATAAAAGTTCCAACATTTATTCTTCATTTAAAATACAAAGTTGTCGCAAACCTTGTCCGTACACATTCTCTTCACAACTTTGTGAACACCATGGTTCCTCACATCGCATGAATGTCCATCGAAGAAGACATCGCAAAGTTCAACATGACATGTGCTTTCAGCCATGATCTGGTTTCGCAAGGGGGACCAAAACAAAGGGAAGAAAAATATTTTGTTCCCATGTTAAATGTTGGAAAAACTATGCATTATATCTTCAAATGGGGGACAAAGAATGTCTCAATAAGATACTTCTATTCTTCGAATTGTTTTGCTTGTATAGATGTGTAGCATCTGGTGTTGTGCCGAGTACTACTGAAATAACCTTTGTTTAAACTTTTCCAGCTTCCGTTGATACCTATTGAAATAAGCATTGTGTTTTACCACGAGTGCTTTTGTGTTTTAACGAATTGTATGACACTTGAGGTCATTAATACTATCTCCTTTTCACCTACTTTGAGGTGGGTTTCATTTTGTAAATGTTATTTCTCTAATGGTTAGGAGAAATAACCCATTTTGGTTTCTCTTTATTCTACTTTTAATTCATTGCATAAAGCTCACAACCAAAGTTGTAGAAAATATCCCTTTTCATGTTCTTAGACAAGACATTTACATCCATATCTGGGCATGGTATAATGGTATAAATCATAAATATCTCCTTATAGTAAAGAAAAACAATTTCCAAAATGGATAGCAAAGAACAACTAAAAATATTATCTGTCAACTGTTGAGGTTTAAATAACTCCTTTAAACGAAAACAGGTGTTTAGATACCTAAGAACGAAAATAGCAAATATATTCTGCCTACAGGATGTACATTTCACAAAAGATCAAGAACAGCTTAATAGACAACAGTGGGGATACAATGAAATCTACATCAGTCCTTACAAAAGTAACGCAAGAGGAACAGCAATTCTCTTCAATAATGACTTTGATTTTGAAGTTAAAAAGGTGATCTTGGATACTAAGGAGGGAAACTATGTATGCGAAAACAGGTGTCATGATAAATGATTGTATGCAGGTGTGATTAGATACCTAAGAACGAAATATAGCAAATATATTCTGCCTACAAATGTACATTTCACAAAGAAAATGATCAAGAACAGCTTATTAGACAACAGTGGGGATACAATGAAATAGATACATCAGTCCTTAAACAAAGTAATCCAAAAGAGGAACAGCAATTCTCTTCAATAATGACTTTGATTTTAAAGTTAAAAGGTGATCTTGGATACTAAGGAGGGAAACTATGTATGCCTAAGTGTTATGATAAATGATTGTATTGCATACTGTGATTAAAGTGTATGGGCCAAATACAGATAAGCCAGATTTCTATAATTAAAATCAAAGCCAAAATATAAGAATTAGACAATGATAAAATAATTATAATCTGTGGAAAAATGGTGATCTGTGGTAAAAGATAACAATAAAATCTACCCTACAGCAGTATAAAAATCCATGTAGCAATAATGGTGAAGATTATTTGATAAATGATTTCTGCTTTGGGAAATGTTATTATTAGAGATAAGAGGGATGACTATATGTTACTCTGCAACAAAAAAAGAAAAATTAATAGCCAAAAATTAAAACAAACACAGACAGATATCATAGAGCTTGAAGAAAGACTCGACTCAGCAGAAAATCAAAAGAAAAAGATATTTTATTAGAAAATATTAATATAGCTAAAATGGATTTAGAAGAAATGGAAAACCAAGTAACCCTAGACACCTTTGTCAGATCTAAAGCGTGAAATGGATAGAGCATGGGGAAAACCTAGTAAATATTTCTACATTTAGAACATAGAAATGTTTTAAACAAATCCAATAAAGAATTATACAGAAGCGATGGGTAAATACTAAAATGCCAAATTGAATTTTAGAAGAGACACAACATTACTATGAAAAGCTGTATACTAGTGAAGAATGTGTACAGGTAGATTTGGAAAATATATTTTCGAATTTTGAGATTAAAAACTATCTGATGGAGTAGCAGCCCTAGAGGGGAGTTAACATATGATGAAATTCTTTCTGCTCTCAAAAACCCAAAAATGGTAAAAGCCCAGGCCCTTGGGGATTTACTGCCGCATTCAATAAAACATTTTTGGGAATGACTTAGGAAAATACTTAATTAATTCTTTAAACTATGGCTATAAACTTGGATCTTTACCAACGATGCAAAAACTGGGACTAATAACATGCTTACCCAAAGGAAAATAAACCTAAACAATTTCTAAAACATTGGAGACCTATATCTCTCTTAAACACATCCTACAAACTAGTCTCAGCAGTAGTTGCAAACTGGATTAAAAAATTTTACCACAAATTATCCATGAGGACCAAAAAGCTTTTGTCGAAGGAAATTTATATGTCATCTGCTGTACATTATCATACCTGTTGAAACTTAGTGCTTTATGTACATCATAACTTAAAATCTCACTAAAATATCACATACTACCATGCCCCAAAAATGATGTTATCCAGATTTATACACATTACTGTATACCTATTTGTGTAATATATGAAAATGGGAAATAAAAATGTTGAAACATCGATATACTATGTACATCATTGCAAGTCAAGATAATAGGTACAACATTCTATGATTTGTAAAACACTTCTAAGTGTCATCTGCTGTACATTATCATACCTGTTGAAACTTAGTGCCTTATGTACATCATAACTTAAAATCTCACTAAAATATCACATACTACCATGCCCCCAAAAATGATGTTATCCAGATTTATACACATTACTGTATACCTATTTGTGTAATATATGAAAATGGGAAATAAAAGACTTAAATTATAAAAAAAATATATGAGTGTTTGAAAGTAAAATGTTTAAAAAAACAGCGGTGTTTGTGTTTAATATTTTTTTAGGAAAAAGGAAAAAACTAACAAGAAAATAAAATCCTGTAATAGATCAATAACAAAATTCAATCGCAAAAATAAACCTATCGAATTTAACCAATAAAAGATGTTTTTACCATAGGGTTGGGTTCTATGAATGGAATAGGGGAGTACTGCACTTTACCGGGCGCACTTTTCCCCGATTAATTAGCGCTGCTGGGGTTCCCTAACCCTAACCCTAAGGATCGTGAAGGGTGCCTAACCCTAAGGATAAAAAAGGGTGCCTAACCCTAAGCATCGTAAAGGGTGCCATACCCTAACCCTAAACCTAAGGATCATAAAGGGTGCCATACCCTAACCCTAAGGATCATAAAGGGTGCCATACACTAACCCTAAGGATCGTAAAGGGAGCAGCGGGGGCTGCGCCCGGTAAAGTGCATTCTAGCCTGGAATAGCCGTCAGTTAGCCATGTTCATGGATTAATAATATACAATCCAAACAATAATTATTGCTTTTCACGATAAATAAATTCAGGATGTTACCTGTAAATGTAATTTAGCATCTTAGAAAAGATGTAAAGTTCGCTCTACCCCAATGTGTTTTGTAATAAAGTATAAGTTTTGCCCTGAACTATTATATAACATCAAAGCACGAGGACTACCGTCCTAACCCTAACCCCCGAACCCTGCTGGGGTTCCCTAACCCTAACCCTAAGGATCGTGAAAGGTGCCTAACCCTAAGGATAAAAGAGGGTGCCTAACCCTAAGCATCGTAAAGGGTGCCATACCCTAACCCTAAACCGAAGGATCATAAAGGGTGCCATACCCTAACCCTAAGGATCATAAAGGGTGCCATACACTAACCCTAAGGATCGTAAAGGGAGCAGCGGGGGCTGCGCCCGGTAAAGTGCATTCTAGCCTGGAATAGCCGTCAGTTAGCCATGTTCATGGATTAATAATATACAATCCAAACAATAATTATTGCTTTTCACGATAAATAAATTCAGGATGTTACCTGTAAATGTAATTTAGCATCTTAGAAAAGATGTAAAGTTCGCTCTACCCCAATGTGTTTTGTAATAAAGTATAAGTTTTGCCCTGAACTATTATATAACATCAAAGCACGAGGACTACCGTCCTAACCCTAAACCCCGAACCCTGCTGGGGTTCCCTAACCCTAACCCTAAGGATCGTGAAGGGTGCCTAACCCTAAGGATAAAAAAGGGTGCCTAACCCTAAGCATTGTAAAGGGTGCCATACCCTAACCCTAAACCGAAGGATCATAAAGGGTGCCATACCCTAACCCTAAGGATCATAAAGGGTGCCATACCCTAACCCTAAGGATAGTAAAGGGAGCAGCGGGGGCTGTGCCCGGTAAAGTGCATTCTAGCCTGTAATAGCCGTCAGTTAGCCATGTTCATGGATTAATAATATACAATCCAAACAATAATTATTGCTTTTCACGATAAATAAATTCAGGATGTTACCTGTAAATGTAATTTAGCATCTTAGAAAAGATGTAAAGTTCGCTCTACCCCAATGTGTTTTGTAATAAAGTACAAGTTTTGCCCTGAACTATATATAACATCAAAGAACGAGGACTACCTTCCTCGTGCTTTAATTATCATAGTTCAGGGCAAAACTATACTTTGTTACAAATCATATTGGGGTAGAGCGAACTTTATTTCCTAAATAATAGTGGGTCCTACAACGACACCTTCAACCACCGAATAACTATACGCCATCCGTTTATTTGACACCGCAAATTAAAAAACATGTAGCACTACTTATAGGAGATTGTGCCGTTTAGGATCTTACTTACCTTTCGGGGTACTCAGACTAGTGAGAGCACCCTGTTCTGTGACATCTTAAGAAATATTTTACAGTTTCACTTTTCGCAACCATTACCAACTTGGCATTGGGGTATCTCACTCAGCGGCGCCGTTTGTCGCAAATATGAATATAAACAGTTCGTGTATAGCTCTCAATTCTTATATGAACACCCAATAACAGGCAAAAACACTTTACTGCTGATACTGCATTCACCGGGTTTACCAAAGAGAGAAGTCATACAGATTGTTTACTTCCGGTGTTAAAAATACAGATTGTAACGGACACGCATTGTGATTTTAGCGTGCGCACTTTCTAGTCTTTTCTGTGTGATGATATTTTTCATTCTTTTACGACGATAAAACGATGCCTCTATTTTACTTATCAATTAGCAGTCAAAAATTTCGTGTGTGATGATGTTCGATAAATCCAAAAAACGGATTTGATGGTCAAATTTCATACTACCACAAACCTGTATTTCAGAACGAGGCGCATATTATCGGACACAAACGGCCATTTTAAATATCGGTTGGTTTGGAGAGCAGAAGATAATCTGTGACCATCGTTGATAAAGTTGAGATATTTTTTAAACGATTTCTGACATAGACGAGAAGAAATATAATCAAAGTACGTCTGTAGCCGTTTATTTGATAGTTTCCATTGATTTCTATTAGGTAGTGGGTGATTCAAACAAGGGAGCCATCGACCGATTTGTGGTGTAAAGATGGCTTGTGGAGCAACGCTCAAGAGAAGTCATGATTTCGACCCATTGCATAGTCCTGGTCAGGGAACTCCAAAGCGAAGAAGGTGTATGCCAATGACACTGTCACCATCAACACCTCCAACAAAGGCACATCAACTGAATCCATCCCCATTTGCAGATGTGACCCCGAAATACACTTCAGGTAATCAAGACTATTTTGGTAGCTCCATCAGGAATTTCATTGTATTACAAATGTTGAGCGAGTGAAAACGACTTCACTTGCGCAAAGGACTTGGGGTTAATGCTCTGTGTGTAACTCCTAAAACGAATAATTGATGGCAATTTGTCAACCTATTTCGATGCATAAACATTAGTCTCTAGAAAAGATTTTAAATAATGCAAAACACACAGAAATTAGAGGATGGAATCTAGCTTGACTGCAGGATGTTAGCAGTATACAGAAGACCCATTTATGATTTTGTTGAGACGTGCACAATCCCTTTCTTTAATGACTTTATTGTTGTGTTAAGAGGTCCTTGTAGTACAACCTGTCTAAGTGTCTTAACTGTCATTTTAAGAGACAAATTTAATGAAATGTTAAACGGACAAATGCTGAATATATGTATGTTAAAGTTTCATTTTCTTGAATGTTGACGTCTGAAATTGATTTGGTATTCAAATCAGTTTAATCATTATGCAATACTAATGCATTCAGGGTCATTTTAAGAACATCTTAACTGATCTTAAAATCAACAAACTTGCAAGAAACATGTATAGAGCATAACACATATTCAGCATAATGAAGTGTACTGATCTTTGATTCAAATGGGGAGCTTCTTAAAGGTCACATGCAACGTAAAACACAACTTTGCAGATTCTGATACCTTTCGGTATGGACTTACCGAAACAAAGCGTCAAAAATGCAAATTCAACTTATAAAGTTGAAAAATAACGCGATGAAAAAAAACGCGCGAAATCGGAGTTCGAACGTTTCCCTAATTTTCCCCAGACTTTTCTGGGGAATCACGGGTTTCAACAGCTGGGCTGCGCTCATAGCATAATGCGCCAGTGAAATAGGTTCGCGTAACTTGGAAGCGGGCTGTCTGGTGAATACTTTCGGTGAAGGCTTTGGCGTGAGCTATTTTCATAATGTTTTGTTGATATCTCACAGGCTGAGCTTTTATATGTTATGACAGTAAATAAACTGTTTATATAATTTCATTTGTCTATTTCACCACCGCTCTTCTTACCGAGTCACTTTCTCTCAGTTCGATATTTAAAAGCAATGTCATTAGTTAAGCGTTGACAGAATTTCTAACTGTGATATAGATATGTCGTTGTCACAGACAAAACTCAATGTCTTGTTTTATTGACACCTGTGTGTCTGCCTGCCAGTCTGCTAATGACAATATTCAATACACAACTTTCACGATCACTGACCACATGCAATTTGAACTTAACACCAATCAGGCTATACACCATAAACAAAAGCATTGAT